TTAGCTTGATGGGTGATGCTGATGTAACCTAGACTAAAGTCATCACATCTTTAATTATAAGTAAATAGAGTCGATAAACAAGGCAGGACACAAGAGTCATGACAGTTAGGGAGTCATGACAGTTAGGGAGTCAGGGCAGTTAGGGAGTCATGACAGTTGGGGAGTCATGACAGTTAGGGAGTCATGACAGTTGGGGAGTCATGGAATTTGGGGAGTCATGACATTTGGGGAGTCATGTCTGTTGTTGAGTCATGGCAGTTGGGGAGTCATGACATTTTGGGAGTCATGACAGTTGGGGAGTCCTGACAATTAGGGAGTCATGACAGTTGGGGAGTCATGGAATTCGGGGAGTCATGACAGTTGGGGAGACAAGACAGTTGGGGAGTCATGTCTGTTGGGGAGTCTTGAAAATTAGGGAGTCATGACAGTTGGGGAGTCATGAAATTTGGGGATTCATGGCAGTTGGGGAGTCATGACAGTTGGGGAGTCATGGCAGTTGGGGAGTCATGGCAGTTGGGGAGTCATGGCAGTTGGGGAGACAAGATAGTTGGGGAGTCATGTCTGTTGGGGAGTCATGAAAATTGGGGATTCATGGCAGTTGGGAGTCATGGCAGTTGGGGAGTCATGGCAGTTGGGGAGTCATGACAGTTGGGGAGTCATGGCAGTTGGGGAGTCATGACAGTTGGGGAGTCATGACAGTTGGGGAGTCATGGCAGTTGGGGAGTCATGGAATTTGGGGAGTCACATGTGTATCATGGATGTCTGTGAGTTCACCTGTTGTATCATGGATGTCTGTGAGTGCACCTGTTGTATCATGGATGTCTGTGAGTGCACCTGTTGTATCATGGATGTCTGTGAGTGCACCTGTTGTATCATGGATATCTGTGAGTGCACCTGTTGTATCATGGATGTCTGTGAGTGCACCTGTTGTATCATGGATATCTGTGAGTGCACCTGTTGTATCATGGATGTCTGTGAGTGCACCTGTTGTATCATGGATGTCTGTGAGTGCACCTGTTGTATCATGGATATCTGTGAGTGCACCTGTTGTATCATGGATGTCTGTGAGTGCACCTGTTGTATCATGGATGTCTGTGAGTGCACCTGTTGCATGTGAATGCACCACACGTGAGCTCCGTTTGTATTGTGAAATGTCTCCAGGTGACTTAGTGCATGAAAAAATAAAATGGCTGATCTGTAAGGTCACTACCTTCTAAGGACAATGACCCCCAGCTGTCTACTGTACCGGGCCTTACTTATCTATTCGCCTAAAGCTTCTCGAATAATTATGATGTAAGAAAAAAAATTAACCAGCAAGCTATCTTAATCTTAATCACTCTTAATTAATTAATTAAGTACTAATTGAGGGTGAAATAAACGAAGCAACTAGGTGACAGTTACTTGTCCCAGTTCACGAAATATGAACGTCATTTCCCTGTTGCTATATTTAGCCGTATGTATTTATGTCCCGTGTATTCATTGACCGAAATCTGCATGTCAAACTTCAAGTATGGAAAACTTCTTTAGTTTAGTGTTGGCCCAGTGGGTTGGTAGGAAACATTCGTCACGCAGCCCAGTGTTGGGTCAAAGTATGTTGGTAGATATTGGCTAATGCCAATGTGTATCGGTGGCTTGTGCGTGGCATATAGGCCTATGCATATACATACATTTTATATATAATTATATATATATATATATATATATATATATATATATATATATATATATATATATATATATAATTATGTATATCTATACTAGAGAGAACGAGGAAGTTGGTTGTGTGTCCTTGTTCCTACTGAACTTGCACTAGCAGGCTTTAGGTAGCCAAGTTCATTCGACTAAATACAGTCAAGTTCATCTGACTGAATTCCGCCACGTTTATCTGACTGAATACATTAGCACACTTTTCAAGGCCATCAGATTGAGGAGATAAACTAGCAGTAAGAAAACGTAAACTGCCCGCAACGTCAAACGGTTTTAATGACCGGTTAAAAATAGGGCACTAATGACGTCATCGATCACCCATCTTTTAATCATTCCTCAATACCGACAACCCAGTATCACCGGCAAACTTTTCCCTAGATTAACCTCCCTCCGTTTGTTGCAGGGGCATTATGCTACCTATTTAAAGCAAGACACTGTGAACTTTAATGAAATAACAAAGTAATTTGAATCCACCTGCACAGCATGTTTGCATGTTTCCATCTCCAAAAGTTCAACTTTTAGTTTTTACCTTCAAAATAAACGAGGTTCGCTGTGTTGCAATTCGGTATTTTAGGTCTGTAAATATGTTCGTGTAGTTCAAATCTTTGACCACACAACACACACCACACAACACACCACTACCACATGACCCATAAAGCCAGCACACACCTGCAGAATGTGAATAACCCTCTTTTACGTAACACACGAGTGAGGTCATTACCCTAATTACTTACAGACAAATCGGTTAATCAATGTATTGGGAGTTTTTTTTTCTTCAGCGGATCTCACATTACAGGTCTGTGCAGGTGCTATATTACAGCTGTAGTGTGGGTCCCACATTTTGTGTTACATCATTTTTGTTATATCATTTTGTGTTATATCATTTTGTGTTATATCATTTTGTGTTATATCATTTTGTTTTATATCATTTTGTGTTACAATATTTTGTGTTATATCATTTGTGTTACAAAATTGTGTTATTTAATTTTTTTGTTATATCATTTTGTGTTACGTCATTTTGTGTTACATTTTGTGTTACAACATTTTGTGTTATACCATTTTGTGTTACAACATTTTGTGTTACAACATTTTGTGTTACAACATTTTGTATTACATCATTTTGTGTTATACCATTTTGTGTTATACCATTTTGTGTTACAATATTTTGTGTTAAACCATTTTGGTGTTACAACATTTTGTGTTATACCATTTTGTGTTACATCATTTTCTGTTAAAACATTTTGTTACAACATTTTGTGTTATATGATTTAGTGTTAAATCAGGAGGTTGGGTATGGTGCTGACCACGGTATCGCTCAAATGCCGAGGTCACAGAAACAGGTGAACTCTACTTTACCTGCCCAATGAGTCACCAGATTAAAAAAGGTGACTTAATACTATTTTGTGTCATACCTATCCCACCCCCTCCCCTTTTCTGGTTCATTGGCTATTTGACTTTTTCTCTCAGACGGCAGTCATGCAAATTGTGTGAGAATTTGTTTAAATCACTGTCGTTAAAACCTTTTGTTTTTATTGAATGTTCAATAAAAGGGGATACGACAGATAGACAGACAGACACAGACACAGACACACAGACACACACACACACACACAGCCTCATTTATAGCCTATTTACATTAGGAGAGCAGCTCAATGGGAGATTGACATTTTTGTCATCTTACCTGATTGTCATGTTGAGGTATTGATTTCCCTCAGGACTTAGTTCATTCCGCCGTATTTAAACTTGGAGTTTGGTTCTTATCTTTGGCTTTTGTTTTTGTGTGCCTGTATTGGGAAGTGGAAATGGGAAATTGGGGAGTGGGGGTTTGGGGGGGGGGGCACCAACAATAGGGGCAGGGTGCATGGAGAGAGTGCTGTTAGGTCACCATGGCAACATACATGTCTGTGGCCAAATGTTATGGGTGAGGCGTGGGTGGGTGTGGAAGCAAATTCTGTTACCATGACAACGGTGAGGGGAATCACGAGATTAATGATGTAATTAGTTTATTAATGAAGTAATTAGTTGTACATTTTTTGTTGTTGCCGAAGGCCAGAATTTGTTCTTGTGTTGTCATGATACACCATGTAGTGGATTGGCTGATTGGCTGACTAGCTCTCAGCTAGCTGGGGTAGCTGTCGGCTAGCTGGGATACCTGTCGGCTAGCTGGGATAGCTGTCGGCTAGCTGGGATAGCTCTCAGCTAGCTGGGATAGCTGTCGGCTAGCTGGGATACCTGTCGGCTAGCTGGGATAGCTGTCGGCTAGCTGGGATAGCTCTCAGCTAGCTGGGATAGCTGTCGGCTAGCTGGGATAGCTCTCAGCTAGCTGGGATAGCTGTCGGCTAGCTGGGATAGCTGTCGGCTAGCTGGGATAGCTGTCGGCTAGCTGGGATAGCTGTCGGCTAGCTGGGATAGCTCTCAGCTAGCTGGGATAGCTGTCGGCTAGCTGGGATAGCTGTCGGCTAGCTGGGATAGCTGTCGGCTAGCTGGGATAGCTCTCAGCTAGCTGGGATAGCTGGCGGCTAGCTGGGATAGCTCTCAGCTAGCTGGGATAGCTGTCGGCTAGCTGGGATAGCTGTCGGCTAGCTGGGATAGCTGTCGGCTAGCTGGGTAGCTGTCGGCTAGCTGGGTAGCTGTCAGCTTGTTGTTCCAGCTGTTGGATAGTTGTAATAGCTGTAAGTTAGTTGTTCAAGCTCTCAACCAGCTGTATTAGCTCTCAGCTATTCCAGCGGTCAGCTAGCTATTCCAGATATCAGTTAACTGTTCTAGCTGTATGCTAACTGTTCTACTGTCAACTAGCTATATTATCAGCCACGTAGCTGTAGTCTATGCTAGTTTAGACATTTAATATTTTATTCGGCAAATTGTGTGTTACTTTAAGTCCATTATTTGTATGTAAACTTAATGATTTTAGGGACATTATTTGTATGTAAACTTAATGATTTTAGGGACATTATTTGTATGTTAACTTAATGATTTATGGCCATTACTTGTTCTTTAACTTAATGATTTAGGGCCATTATTTGTACGTTAACTTTTTACATTGTGTGATAGATGTAAAGATGTCTTTATTATAAACCATAACATATTATCCGTGTAAGCTAGTCTCCAGCTCACGTATCTGTAATCTCGAGCGAACTCTGTTGCCAGGTTTTCTCTGTTGCCAGGTTTTCTCTGTTGCCAGGTTTTCTCTGTTGCCAGGTTTTCTCTCTGTTGCCAGGTTTTATCTGTTGCCAGGGTTTTCTCTCTGTTGCCAGGTTTTCTCTGTTGCCAGGTTTTCTCTCTGTTGCCAGGTTTTATCTCTGTTGCCAGGGTTTTCTCTCTGTTGCCAGGTTGTCTCTCTGTTGGTTTTCTCTCTGTTGCCAGGTTTTCTGTTGCCAGGGTTTTCTCTGTGTTGCCAGGTTTTCTCTCTGTTGCCAGGGTTTTCTCTCTGTTGCCAGGTTTTCTCTCTGTTGCCAGGTTTTATCTCTGTTGCCAGGGTTTTCTCTCTGTTGCCAGGTTGTCTCTCTGTTGGTTTTCTCTCTGTTGCCAGGTTTTCTGTTGCCAGGGTTTTCTCTGTGTTGCCAGGTTTTCTCTCTGTTGCCAGGGTTTTCTCTCTGTTGCCAGGGTTTTCTCTCTGTTGCCAGGGTTTTCTCTCTGTTGCCAGGTTTTCTCTCTGTTGCCAGGTTTTCTCTCTGTTGCCAGGGTTTTCTCTCTGTTGCCAGGTTTTCTCTCTGTTGCCAGTGTTGACTCTCTGTTGCCAGGGTTTTCTCTCTGTTGCCAGGGTTGACTCTCTGTTGCCAGGGTTGTCTCTCTGTTGTCAGGTTTTCTCTCTGTTGCCAGGGTTTTCTCTCTGTTGCCAGGGTTTTCTCTCTGTTGCCAGGTTTTCTCTCTGTTGCCAGGGTTTTCTCTCTGTTGCCAGGTTTTCTCTCTGTTGCCAGTGTTGACTCTCTGTTGCCAGGGTTTTCTCTCTGTTGCCAGGGTTGACTCTCTGTTGCCAGGGTTGTCTCTCTGTTGTCAGGTTTTCTCTCTGTTGCCAGGGTTTTCTCTCTGTTGCCAGGGTTTTCTCTCTGTTGCCAGGTTTTCTCTCTGTTGCCAGGTTTTCTCTCTGTTGCCAGGGTTGACTCTCTGTTGCTAGGGTTCTCTCTCTCTCTCTGCCTCACACTCGCAACATTCGGGCTAACTATCTCTGCCTCTGGACTAGACCAACAATACCTGTAGTGTTCAGATACTAGACCAACAATACCTGTAGTGTTCAGATACTAGACCAACAATACCTGTAGTGTTCAGATACTAGACCAACAATACCTGTAGTGTTCAGATACTAGACCAACAATACCTGTAGTGTTCAGAGACTAGACCAAAAATACCTGTAGTGTTCACCTATCTGCAACACGATCAGTTCGATCCGAGTTTTTTAATCTCGCGTCTTAGCCTTGTCATAACCTAGGCCGTGGATTAGCAGACTGTAGTTAATATTTAATGGCTCAAGAGAAAGAATCGATTTATAGCTGAACATTTCATTCATTAAATATCTCACCTGACTCAGGCTACTCTTTAAAAAATGCAGGACTTAGTGCAAGGGGTAAAAGAGTTTAGGGGGGGGGGGGGCTAATAAGGTAGGGTGCTACATATATTAATCTTGTGGGGGCGGGGTTGATGGCTAAACTGTCGGCCTGACGAATTTAGAAATGCTGAAGCTGTTTTCGCTAAGTATTTCATATTTTATTCTGCCACTTACATCGCTGGGAGGGGTGGTCAAGTCTACAGTCTCGGTCAAGGGGTGGTCAAGTCTACAGTCTGGGTCAAGGGGTGGTCAAGTCTATAGCCTGGGTCAAGGGGTGGTCAAGTCTACAGTCTGGGTCAAGTTGGCTGAGTTAGTCAATGATCGCAAATTGCTGACCGTGCTAAATTAAACTAGAAAGAACAGACAATGATGTGCTGAGTTACACAAGACTAAGCTAGAATAAATGATCAGTTCAAGTTTACCCTGTTAAACCTACCGACATGTTGTAAATTAATATTTTTTTCCCAATTATAAACTGATTTGATCATGAAAAAAGTGGGTACAAAATCACCACGCACTCACCATCCTCATTCCTCATTGTGGGGCAAAGGGACGTAACTCCACCTCTCCATCATACTTTGTTTAGTGTGATTCCTTCAAGTTGGGTCCATAACATTCCGGCTGTTTATGCTTCACTTACAACTAATCTTTTCAACTTTTCTTTTGCCCTACCTACTTTCCACATTCCTTGGAGATTTCAATCAAATGTCTGTCTGGTGATTTTGTTTGTTTGTTTTTTGTTTGTTTGTTGAGGGTTGAGCAAGGCGTGTCCAATCCATCCCAATTTACGCTTCTATATTTCTATGGGGTAGCAGTTTTTTTTACAATAGTTTGGTGTGGCCGTTTGTTTTTTACAAAAATTTTACAATAATTTTTTCATACCATCTGATGTTCAATAATTTTTTCATCCCATCTGATGTTCAATAATTTTTTCATCCCATCTGATGTTCAATAATTTTTTCATCCCATCTGATGTTCAATAATTTTTTCATCCCATCTGATGTTCAATAATTTTTTCATCCCATCTGATGTTCAATAATTTTTTCATCCCATCTGATGTTCAATCATTTTTTTCATCCCATCTGATGTTCAATCATTTTTTTCATCCCATCTGATGTTCAATAATTTTTTCATCCCATCTGATGTTCAATAATTTTTTCATCCCATCTGATGTTCAATCATTTTTTTCATCCCATCTGATGTTCAATAATTTTTTCATCCCATCTGATGTTCAATCATTTTTTTCATCCCATCTGATGTTCAATAATTTTTCATCCCATCGGGTGTTCAATAAACGACGCAAAGATTCGTTTACGAAATTCGGACATTTATTTGTATCTTACTCTCCACGTCTCAGGGTCATACAGGGGGAACAAACCTTTACGGCGCTAAGTTTAAAATAAATGTGGAAGAAAATATTTGTGCCCGAAAGTCAGGTTTTTATTTTGAACGATACAAGTTCATGACGCCTACACTATATTAAAGTCAAATTCAACACTAAGTTCACTGCATGACGCCTATACTTAGCCACCCCATAACGCGTACATTAAGTCACCCGTGACGTCCACACTAAGTCACCCCATGACGTCTACACTAAGTCACCCCATGACGTCAACACTACACAAAGTCACCCCATGACGCCTACACTACACTAAGCCACCGCATGATGCCTACACAAAGTCACCCCGTAACGTCTATACTACACAAAGTCACCGCATGATGCCTACACAAAGTCACCCCGTAACGTCTACACTAAGTCACCCCATGACGTCAACACTACACAAAGTCACCCCGTAACGTCTACAGTACACTAAGCCACCGCATGACGCCTACACAAAGTCACCCCGTAACGTCTATACTACACAAAGTCACCCCATGACGTCTACACAAAGTCACCCCATGACGTCTACACTAAGTCACCCCGTAACGTCTATACTACACTAAGTCACCGCATGACGCCTACACAAAGTCACCCCATAACGCGTGCACTAAGTCACCCCATGACACCCCTAGTTTCACAGATCCATTATTAAAAAGACTTACTACCCCCACGCTCACTGTCCCCATCTGTCTCCCCCCCCCCCCCCCCCCCCCATCCCTAACTAACTGACCTTCCTGTACTAGATGCCAGATTTAGCTCCCAGCTGTTTGGGTTTTTCTCCTGACGACGTGTACAGTTTGTGTCACCACGCGGGAGTCACGTGCCAGCCGCTTGATGCCCCCCTCCCCTGGCCACTGTACTTGCTCAGGTCAACCTGACCTCACCAGAGGGGAATCCGCTAGCCACGCTACAGGAAGGGCTACACACAAATCTGCACCAATTAACTAGGCAATTAATTGTTTTTAAAAAATTACGATGAGCAGTAAGTTTATTTGTCAACAACAAAACCCAAAAATCAAATTTCTAAAAATAAACATTGCTTCCCTAATGAGAAAAAACTCACCCCTCGCAACCCTCCCATCCCTTTACATCGATAGGTTTGTAGATCCGACGCTCTAGATATTGATTTAACCGAGTTTTTAAAACCTAGCTTAGTACAACAACGGAGGAAAAATCTAGAAGCTGAATATGTAATGATGTACTTTTTATGGATCAGCAAAACTAATTAAATGATATTTTAAAAAAAACTACAGCTAAATTTAATATTTCTCAAGTCGGTTTTAAAGAATCTTAAACCTAAAATCTCACTACAATCAGCATGGTTTCAGCGTTATTTTTTTTTTCAATAAAAAAATTCAAGCAATCGGCTTTATTGCAATTTCATTAAACAATTCAAGACTGGTTGACCGAATTATTTTTTTTTTAAATTCTTAGAGGGTCGTCCGTAAATGACGTCAACCATTTTTGACGACGTCCCCCTTCCTCCCCCCCCACCTTTTAGTCACATTAAGGCAGACCCCTCCCCACTCCCCCAAGCGTGTGACATTATTGTGAGCGGACAAAGTATCTGGCTAGGGGGCTTTGGAGAAGAGAGAGAACGGGTTGATACACAAAAAACAGTTTGGGGCACGGAGAACGGGTTGGGGCACTGAAAAAAAGTAGAGGCATGCAGAACGGGTAAAACCAATCGATTTCAGTAATCAAATCAAGATCACAGTTCTGGGGTGTAGTGAGGTATGGCTGCCCTCGGGCATCGTTCGGGCATCTCTAGGGCAGCACAACTGGGACAATGGTACCTGGGACAATGGTACCTGGGACAATGGTACCTGGGACAATGGTACTTGGGACAAGACATTGGTACCTGGGACAATGGTACCTGGGACAATGGTACCTGGGACAATGGTACCTGGGACAATGGTACATGGGACAATGGTAGCTGGGACAAGACAATGGTACCTGGGACAATGGTACCTGGGACAAGACATTGGTACCTGGGACAATGGTACCTGGGACAATGGTAGCTGGGACAATGGTAGCTGGGACCTGGGACAAGACATTGGTACCTGGGACAAGACATTGGTACCTGGGACAATGGTACCTGGGACAATGGTACCTGGGACAATGGTAGCTGGGACAAGACATTGGTACCTGGGACAATGGTACCTGGGACAATGGTACCTGGGACAATGGTACCTGGGACAATGGTACCTGGGACAATGGTACCTGGGACAAGACATTGGTACCTGGGACAATGGTACCTGGGACAATGGTACCTGGGACAATGGTACCTGGGACAATGGTACCTGGGACAATGGTACCTGGGACAATGGTACCTGGGACAATGGTACCTGGGACAATGGTACCAGGGACAATGGTAGCTGGGACAATGGTACCTGGGACAACGGCACCTGGGACAATGGTACCTGGGATAATGGTACCTGGGACAATGGTACCTGGGACAATGGTACCTGGGATAATGGTACCTGGGACAATGGTACCTGGGACAATGGTACCTGGGACAATGGTACTTGGGACAAGACATTGGTACCTGGGACAATGGTACCTGGGACAATGGTACCTGGGACAATGGTAGCTGGGACAATGGTACCTGGGACAACGGCACCTGGGACAATGGTACCTGGGACAATGGAACCTGGGACAATGGTAGCTGGGACAATGGTACCTGGGACAATGGTACCTGGGACATTGGTACCTGGGACAATGGTACCTGGGACATTGGTACCTGGGACAATGGTACCTGGGACAATGGTAGCTGGGACAATGGTACCTGGGACAATGGAACCTGGGACAATGGTAGCTGGGACAATGGTACCTGGGACAATGGTACCTGGGACATTGGTACCTGGGACAATGGTACCTGGGACATTGGTACCTGGGACAATGGTACCTGGGACAATGGTAGCTGGGACAATGGTACCTGGGACAATGGAACCTGGGACAATGGTAGCTGGGACAACGGCACCTGGGACAATGGTAGCTGGGACAATGGTACCTGGGACAATGGAACCTGGGACAATGGTAGCTGGGACAATGGTACCTGGGACAATGGTACCTGGGACATTGGTACCTGGGACAATGGTACCTGGGACATTGGTACCTGGGACAATGGTACCTGGGACAATGGTAGCTGGGACAATGGTACCTGGGACAATGGAACCTGGGACAATGGTAGCTGGGACAACGGCACCTGGGACAATGGTAGCTGGGACAATGGTACCTGGGACAATGGTAGCTGGGACAAGACATTGGTACCTGGGACAATGGTACCTGGGACAATGGTACCTGGGACAATGGTAGCTGGGACAATGGTACCTGGGACAATGGAACCTGGGACAATGGTAGCTGGGACAACGGCACCTGGGACAATGGTAGCTGGGACAACGGCACCTGGGACAATGGTACCTGGGACAATGGTACCTGGGACAATGGTACTTGGGACAAGACATTGGTACCTGGGACAATGGTACTTGGGACAATGGTACCTGGGACAATGGTACTTGGGACAAGACATTGGTACCTGGGACAATGGTACCTGGGACAATGGTACCTGGGACAATGGTACCTGGGACAAGACATTGGTACCTGGGACAATGGTAGCTGGGACAATGGTACCTGGGACAAGACATTGGTACCTGGGACAATGGTACCTGGGACAATGGTACCTGGGACATTGGTACCTGGGACAATGGTACCTGGGACAATGGTAGCTGGGACAAGACAATGGTACCTGGGTCAATGGTACCTGGGACAAGACATTGGTACCTGGGACATTGGTACCTGGGACATTGGTACCTGGGACAATGGTACCTGGGACAATGGTAGCTGGGACAAGACAATGGTACCTGGGACAATGGTACCTGGGACAATGGTACCTGGGACATTGGTACCTGGGACAATGGTACCTGGGACAATGGTAGCTGGGACAATGGTACCTGGGACAAAGGAACCTGGGACAATGGTAGCTGGGACAACGGCACCTGGGACAATGGTAGCTGGGACAATGGTACCTGGGACAATGGTAGCTGGGACAAGACATTGGTACCTGGGACAATGGTACCTGGGACAATGGTACCTGGGACAATGGTAGCTGGGACAATGGTACCTGGGACAATGGAACCTGGGACAATGGTAGCTGG